GCATTCCTTCCATCTTCTTTGAAAATAATTGCACCAAAAAAGAAAGATAAGCATTTCATATTCTTTCTGAATTCTGCTGTCTTTGATAGTTCAGTTACATGTTGTTATTGTTGTTAAGTGCCATCGAGTTGATTCCAACCCATTGTGACCCTGTATGGGGTTTCCAAGGACACATAGTTGTGTATTAAATGTGTTTTCTGTACTCCTTACCAATAAAATGGAATATCCTCCACAAATCATGCTTTAACAGCATTTTAATCGTGTAATGTTCAAATTTAGACCTTGCTTAGACATATCTGTGAGAATATATCTAACTTTTAATTAGTATGCTTGGAATAGATTCTGTAAAAATTTAGTTTTTAAGAAGTAAGTAATGCTTAAGCATTGCTTTCACAGTATGTGCTAAGCTTACAATATCCTAGTATCAGCTGTTATTTTTCGCTCTATCACATTTAATTTATATGTTCCAAAAATAATCTGTAGGATAATAGATTCATTAAAAACAATGCAAATCATTCCAAGGCTTATTATGTATATTTGTCATCACTGACACTCCTCCATAATAAAAAAATTGCTAGATTTTGATGATTATTATTGCCTTTACTAGAACCAATGGATACAGTAATACAAATGATGATCATGTGATTTAAAAATAAATAAATAAATAAAACAGACACAAGTATTAATCATACTGTTCGGAGTTGGTTCATTAACCTGTTATTCTTCCAGTGTGATGTTGGCTTTTCCCAGAGCTTTGTAAATGTCAAATATCTTGCAAATATTGAATGTTTTAATGGATTATTGAGAAAGTGTAGTTTATATTGAAACTATCTCGAAACAGACTGTATTGATTTAAAATTTTAAAGCTTTGTAGGTTGTGTGTTATTCAGCATTTGCAAGGTAGTAAGTATATCTTTAATATTCATGACTGTTTCAGTGGCAAGTCTCGGCATTGTTAACTGACAAGGACAGCTAAGAAGAAGGTAAATAAAGTTTCTACATTTGGAATGAATATTTTAATAAAAGTAATTATTTGGAAGCCCTACTACCATATGTTAGACTCCTGGTGTGGTGCTGCAGGATCAGCACTGACTGTGAACCACAAGGTTAGCAGTTCAAACCCAACAGTAGCTCCTCCAAAACACTGTACAGGGTAGGGTCTCTGTGAGTCAGAATCGACTCAACGGCACTTAACAACAGCAACATTACCATGTACAAGGTCCTCCATGAGATGGATTGGCACAGAGGCTGCCTGTTGACAATCAGCTTAAACACAGTAACTATTGTGAGGATGGACAGGACCGGGCAGCATTTTGTTCTTTTGTATATAGGATTTTTGTTAGTCAGAATTGACTTGATGGTACTTGACCATCACTGTTACACATGTACACTAAATAATATTTTTGTTATTTAAACATTTCTGAAATGATCACTGTGTATATCAGTATGGTTCTGGTTCTTATTTTAACAATAAAATGATGGTTAGTTGCATTGTATCTATCACAGTCACTAAAAATGAACTTAAAATCAAAGTCTTAAATTTGGAAGGTCTTGAGGCGTGACTGAGGTGGCCAGATGGTATATACTGTTCTGTAGATGTTAAGTGTATTCTGAGGGCCTGGCGAAATGTGGAATGGGGTTTGTTTTGGGCCTGATAAAGTGTTCAGGAATTAGTGGAGTTTGTTGTACAACCTTGTGAATACTGAATTGTGCACTTTAAAAGGATAAATGTATGGCATATGAATTGCATATGAATGAAATATACTCTGGATACTGGTTAGGTGCCCTTGAGTTTGTAAACAGAAGGAAATACTACCCATCATACACCATCCTCACAGTTGTTATGTTTGAGTCCATTGTTGCAACCATTGTCTCAGTCATCTCATTAGGGTCTTCCTCTTTTTTACTGATCCTCTACAGCACAGTGTCCTTTTTCAGGGATTAATCCCTCTTGATCATGTGTCCAAAGTGCAGGAGACAAAGTTTTGCTATCCTCACTTTTAAGGCGCCTTTCTTCCAAGACAGATTTGTTTGTTCTTTTGGCAGGCCATGTTAGTTTCAACATTGTTCGGTAACATCGTAATTCAAATATATCAATTCTTCTTGAATTTGCCTTAATCATTGTCTACCTTTTACACACATATGAGACCATTGAAAAAACCATGACTTGGGATACTTAGGGACAATTATATTGATATATCTTCATATTGAAAATGTGTAATTTGATGAGTCTTGACATTTGTATTCACCTCTGAAATCCTTACTCAAACAAGATAGTGGACATAATGACAACCTTCCAAAGGTTGCTCATATTCTTTCATAATCCTTCTCCAGGCAGCTTTGATCTACCATCTCACTGTAGATTTGTTTG